TGGCCCCTTCCTTTCCTCTTCATTCTGCCTCAGTTCAGGTCTTAATCCTCCATCTTTGGGACCATGCCTGTGGTCTCCCAATAGTATCTTGTATCCTTGTACGCCTAATTTAGCTTCCAACATGCAGCTGCCAGGTTTCAGCACAGCTCACTCTTGCTCAGGTTCCTCAAAGGCACCCTCTGCCTGCAAGAAAAAGGCTACTCCCAGCCAGGTGCGGTGACTCACACCTGCAATCCCAGGACTTTCAGAGGCTGAGGTGGGAGGATCGCTTGAGCCTAGAAGTTCCAGACCAGCCTGGACAAAATAGTAAGAACCCATCTCTACAAAATAAAAATAAAAATTAGCCAGGCTTGGTGGTGCATGCCTGTAGTCCCAGATACTCCCACAGGCTGAAGTGGGAGGATGGCTTGAGCCCAGGAGGTCGAGGCTGCAATAAGCCACGATCATGCCTTCCCACACCAGCCTGGGAGATAGAGATCTTGTCTCAAAAAAAAAAAAAAAAAAAAAGGCCACTCCCATAGTCTGGCCATAGATCTGCATAATCTACCCACTCCTGCATTCTGCGGCCTCATTTCCTTATTTCCAAACTCCTGTGAGCCTCGCTCCTCCAGGGAGTGTTTTCCAATCCTCCAGGGCTGCCCAAATAGGGCTAGGTGTCCTCTGTCCTCACTCGCCTTCCACGGTTCTCCCGTGCTGCATTTGCAGAATTGCAGTGATCATCTGTTCACGTTTCTTTCTCTCCACTCTACGGTGTGAGTTCCCTGAGAGCAGAGGCATAGCCTGGTCCTGGCATGGTGCCTGGCACACAGTACGCACCTGATACATGTGATTGACTTGAACTTCATGTGGCTAGAGGGTGTGTAGGTAGGTGGTGGTGGAGGGGAAGGCTCACTGTGGTCTCAAAGTCTGGAGCTCCTTTGCGTGTTTATCTGGCCTCTGCGATGCAAATCTGGGAGGATCAGTGTTTGCATGGAGAGCAGAAAATAAGAACAGGACCGGAGGATGAGGGCAGAGACCGGAGAGGACTGGGTATTTATCTAGCCAAGGGCTCTTGTGATCCAGCCCAGGCCAAAACTGAGACTAGGGTAACTGCAGGTTTCTTCAGGTAGGTGCTTATTGGATCTTTTCTACCAGAGAAAAGCAGTGGAAGGAGGACAAAGGACGGTTTCACACAGCGCTGACTCCTCGTCACACAGACTTGGGGACCGATCAGCGTCTGGGGCACCAAGAGGCAGTCTGGGGGCTGGATTCACGAGGTAAGGTGTTGAGCAGACGGGACAGGGGGGTGGAGCAGGGGCGCAGGCACCAACACTTGAGAGAGGCACTTCCCCCTTCTTCCCTGGGTGTGTGCAGTGGCGGCTCCAGAAACGCCCCACCCCTGGGAAAGGGGCGAGTGAGGCTGGCCCCATCTTTCCAGCCCCCGGCGAGCTCCAGCGTCCGCGAGGACAGGGAGGCCTCTAGCGGCTGGCGTGGGAAGCAGGCAAAGGCCGGCTGCGGAGGGCGGGAGGGCATTTCCTGTCCGGGCCTG